TTTGCCTTGTTTGTGGGGACTCTGGGCTGGGTGGAAATGGGATTTTTCATTAAGTCAGAGGGTGTTGTTCCACTTGTCCACTTGTCCCAAAGTGCACCCAGTTTCTGGGTTTCATTGTGATGGTATCTTGGCAGAAAGGAAACGCAGTTATCCATTAGCCAATTCTCAGAGAAATCCCCTTTGCAACCAGCTTTTCAGGTAGGACCTTCCAGGTTTTTGCAGGCACTGAGCAAAGCCCAGTCAGCAGCTCTGCAGGGACCTGCCCTGCCTGTGCCTGGAAAGCTGGGGGTGATGGATGCAGGGCTTTCTTACCTTCCAGGTCCTGCTTTCTTACCTTCCAGATCCTACTTTCTTACCTTCCAGATCTGTTATTTCCCAATGGTTGTGAGCAAGAGCTGAATCCAAGTGGTTTTAGACAGGAGCAGATAAACCAGGGAGCCTTGACCACCCCTCTGGAGCTGCAGGCACCATTCATCCAAGGGCCTGGGCATTCCTTGGATAAATACTGTGAGGTTTATAATAATAATAGTAATAAATTTAAAACATATAAATTAATAATAATGATGATGATGCTGCTTCCAAAGGCCCATTCTCCAAACAGCTTTGGTAACTCTGCCTGAATGTTTGGACCCTCCCAACACCTCTGTGTCCTGTCCTGACTTTTGGTCAGGGTCACTGAGGCTGTACACATCCCACAGCTCATCTGCAGGGCCATTGCCCAGGCTTTTCCAGCCAAACCCAGCCTTGCTGCTCTTCTGTCAGGTCAAACAGAAGTTGTTTCACCCAAAACTCCTGTGAGGAGTCCCACGAGCTGCTGTGAATGGAGGTTTTTGCTCCTGGCTGCAGAAATGCCCATGCCACCACCCTTCAGCTGAGGTTCCCCTCTCTTAGGGCCATTCCCTGTGGGGTTTCTGTGATTTTAGAATGTTTGAGCTTTGAAAATCTGGACTAGTGGCAATATCCTTCCTGTATCTGCAGGGTTAAAATTGCAAGTGCTCTCTGGGCTCCTCTCTGCAGCTGCTGAGTGCAGGGTGAGGATGGGGATGCTCCTCACCTCTTACCTGAGCAAGAAGTGCAGGTCTGGAGGAGCTGAATCCCTAAGCAGATGCAGATTAGCTACAAAACTGAAGTGTATGATGAAAAAGGCTGCACAAGAATGGGCTTAAATTCCCCTGCTAAATGAACATTTCCATTTTAAGTAGCTCAGAGGAGAAATAAGGGGCAGGGGAAATGTGTGCTTGTCATTCTTACAAAGGAGCTGGCTTCCAAACTGTTAATTTTTGAACAACTGTTGAATGACAGGAGTGCTTCCACTCTTTCCATGCAAATCCCCGTAATAAAACCCTTTTTAGCTTCCCACACTTCAGAGCTGCTCACACAGTCACTGTCTCCCTGGAAATCTTCCTCCAGTGGCTTGCACTGCTCGAGTCCTGCCTAAGGCACCCCTGAATCCCTCTGGGTGGATTTGTCTGAAGATCAGACCTAGGTTAGGAAAAAAACCCCCAAACTGTCATTTTTAGAGCTGTAGTAACCTCATTTGTGATTGCAGGGATATGAACTTGGTCACATTTCCTGCTTTTAATATCCCCTGCAAACCTCTCCATAAATTCTGTCTAAACGTGGTCTGCTTTAAATCCACCTCTGGCTTGAAAATGAAATGTGCATTTGCTGTCTTTATTGATCTGTGAACTCTGCCACTCTGCACTGATAAATTCATTTCTTCATGGTTTCATGTAGCCCTGTGGCCTTAAATATATTTTTAACCTAGCAAAGATTCTGAGATGAGCAGTGGAAAGAAAAGAATCTCTTGTTTGAAGTGTGTTTTACTCACTCTGTTTCTGGCTCCTAAAGGTACTTCTCTTGGTAATTCCCCTAACCAAACCCTGGTGTATTAAAATCATGCTAAGTGTAAAAGTGTGCGTGTATATCTCACGATTTAAAAATAAAAATGTATCTGCACCCCAAAACATTCTGTCTGCAGTGATCCAGGCAGGGGACAAGCATTTGATGTCACCTCAAGTAGCCAAGGAGTTCAGCCAAAAGCTCTTATTGAAACTGCTGGCACACCTTGTATCAACATCTCAAAGCTCAGGAGAGTTTTAGGATGAAGGAGGGATTTTAAACAAATACCCTGGAGTTCCCTGAGCATCCCTGCTCTGGCTTTTGGTCTGTGCATAGCCACAGCCATGACTGGATGGAGTGAGGTGTGTAAGCAAAGGATTGCTGAGTTGTTGAGGTGAATTTTGAAGGAAATGTCTGCCCTGTTTTGCAGAGGTGAATCTGGAGCTGGGAAGACTGAGAACACCAAGAAGGTTATTCAGTACCTTGCTCATGTTGCTTCCTCCCATAAAGGAAGAAAGGACCATAATATTCCTGTAAGTTGGGGTATTTTCTCATTTCTTAATAGCTATTTTTGCAAACTGCCATCTTTGCATTTGAAAAAATGACTTTTTAAAATTAAACTGTAATGTAATCTTTGCGATTTTGTCTCAAACATTATTTTCTCTTTAGCAGTGGCTGAAACGAGCAGTTACATCAAAATTTCTCGTCCATATCAGCTGCCTAATTTCTGTTGTGAAATTAAAGGCTTTATACAAATAAAAGCAAATCTTTCTGATGCAATAAACCCCATTTTTCAAAAAGATTCAGTAAACCCAGGCAATTGTAACTGAATTTAGTTCCCACTGGATGCAGTTTTTTGTACTATATTTCTGAACAAGCTTTTTGTGCTTTCAAAAATTAACTTGTACATGTGAAAAATCATCTAGCTTAAAAACTGCTGTAGACTTGCTATATCTAGAAACCAGCATGTAATTAAAAGCTCAGATTTTATTACACTATAAACAAGCGAGTGTATACTTATATATCAGAGAATATTGGGTTTTTTGGTAGCTTGAAACCAACTCTGATTTATATAAAACATTCTTCAGATTTCCTGCCAGGCTTCAACATTTGCACTGAATTTTTAGTGATTCTTTGCTTTTAAAACCAGGAGTGGGTTTGAATATTTGTTGTTAGGAGCACTTGGATATGTTTGCAGTGAGGTTTTAATTGAGCTTTGCTCCCAGCAGTGTCTTGCTGTAATCACAAATGGTTTTCCAGTAGTAATCCTGGTGTCTGTGGTGGCTGGAACCTTCAAACTGCATTATCCTATGGAATTCTAGAATTAGAGACTTAGAGAATTCTAGCAGAGAGCTCTAAGATCAAGCCCAGCCGTTGCCAGCACCCTGTTCCCTCTGATCCATCCCATGAAGTGTCACTTCCACTTGTTCCTCGAGCCTTGCAGGGGTGTGGTGGCACCTGTCCCATGTTTGCCCTCTGTCTGTGAGGAAACCTCTCCTGGCACCCAGGGGAGATGCTCTCTCCTGGGTATCTCTCCTGGCACCCAGGGGAGATTCTCTGTCCTGGGTATCACTCCTGGCACCCAGGGGAGATGCTCTCTCCTGGGTATCACTCCTGGCACCCAGGGGAGATNTCCTGGGTATCACTCCTGGCACCCAGGGGAGATGCTCTCTCCTGGGTATCACTCCTGGCACCCAGGGGAGATTCTCTGTCCTGGGTATCTCTCCTGATTCCCAGCTCGAGGCTGTGCCCCTGCAGCAGCTGCAGCTTTGTCAGTCCATGCAGGGCACCCCTGGGTGTGCCAGGCTCAGGCTCCTGCAGGATCACCAGCTGACTTTGGACCAGCCTGGGGAGGGGAAAAAAGTGAGGATTTGAAGTGGGAGAGAAGGAAAGGTTGCAGGCAGATTGGGAGAAATCTACTGCAGTGTATGGGGAAACTTGGCTCTGCTTTCATCAAGAGGAAAGAACTGAGCCTGTGCATTGGTACTTTTTCAAACTGGTGCTGGTTTTTCACACAGAAAAGATGAAGATCAGTCTTTGTATGTGTTTACTAAGCAGACTGAGAGTGCTGCAGGCCTCAGGAGGAGGTTTGTGTCCACTTTCTGACACTGGAGTGTCAGGGCTGTGTTCGTGGCACGTGTTGGCAGGTTGTGACAGTGGGACATCATCCAGCACAAGTGATTTTCTCTGGAGGCTTGGAGTTAAGCATGTTCTTGGCTTTACCACTGGGCAGCCTTGGACAAACCCAGTCCTTTTTCAACTTCTACAGCAGCAAAATTGCCAATGGGTTTTTGGAGAGAAGGGAATTGTGCAGGGTTTGCACCCAGTATTTCTAAATATACTGTTGACAACTTGGAATGCCTCAGGCTGAAAGACACTTCTGGAAGCCTCTTGTCCAGACACCTTTCAAAATGTGCCTCCTTTCAAAGTGAGACTGCATTGCCCAATCCCCACAAAAGCTGAGGTTTGAAAATCCTGAGGGATGGAAATGATGCAACTTCTCGGAGAGCCTGTGAAGGCACAGCAAAGAAAAGGGAAAGCTGGGATGTGAACAAAAAGAGCAGGGAGTGTCCTGAATAAAAGTCTTGGATCGTGCCCTTCATTCAGTGCAGCACCACAGTGGGCACTGGATTTGCCACGTGTCCATGAAAAATGCAGACTGTTTGTCACCAGACTAATTTTGAAAATATAAATGAGTTTCCCTTGCTGTGCACCAATTAATTTTTGTTTATGTATTGGGAACAAAGCATGTCTAACCCTCACAGGTGCCACTGTGAAAGGTAGGAAGGGTCAGAATAGGGGTTATAGAAGCAGCCCTAATTAGCTCTGTTTGCATATTCATTAGGCAGCTGCAGAGGGCTGGTGGTGTTCCACAGTCTGTGCAACCTGTGCATTACCCTGTGCACAAGAAGATGCTAAATAGGCTTGTTAAATTAATCCATGGCTTGCAGTCTGTCTGTACCCATCCTGTTACAGATAATTATCAGTGACATGTTTATTTCTGAGCCTCTTTGAATGCCTCATTGATGATTTTTTTAAACAAGCAATTTGTATGCTAAGCCTAGGGTTAACTTTGATTTGCCTGACCTGGTGCTGTGAAATCAGAACAAGCAGAGGAGCCCCAGTGTGACACCTCAGGGCAGCACCGATGTCACGGGGGCTCAGCTGGGATGGAGGGGAGATGTTCAGCCTCCGTGAGGGGCTCTGCCATGCCCTGCACAGCCTGGCATGGTTGGCATCCTCAAATCCCTCTTTCCTTAGAGCTGACAAAGCCCTGCACACCCCTTAGCATGTGGTCCTTGGAAATGGAGTCAGTAACAGAGGGGCTGCAGTTTCAGCCTGGATGGTCAGGATTTGAGTGTGGGAATCCGTGGCCCCAGTGCCTCATTTTTTGGGTTACCCCAAAATGAGTTTCAGCCTGGAGTTTCAGGGTTCCTGGGTTTGAGTGTGGGACTCTCTGGCCCCAGTGCCTCATTTCCTGGGTCATCCCCAGATGTTGTCTTGGGCACCAAGTGTGGGGAGAAGGCAGCAAAGTGCCAGAGGAGGTGCAGCAGTGGTGGGGTTGGCAGAGCCAGGTGAGGCTGCAGCAGTCCCTGAGAGGGAGAATGGAGGCTGGGCTGTCCAGGGCAGGGAGAGCTGCTTGGCAGGGCTGGGACAAGAGCTGGGAACCAGAGCTGGGAACAAGAGCTGGGAACCAGAGCTGGGAACAAGAGCTGGGAACAAGAGCTCCTCTCAGGCTGAAGCTGGGGTGAAAGCAAGCCCTGCATGCTGTCCAGTCTCCAGCAGATGAAACCTTTAAATCAAATCACAGAATCCCAGAATGGTTTGGGTTGGAGGGGATGCTAAAGATTATCCAGTTCTGCTCCCCTGCCATGGCAGGGACACCTCCCACTGTCCCAGGTGCTCCAGCCTGACCTTGGGCACTGCCAGGGATCCAGGGGCAGCCACAGCTGCTCTGGGCACCCTGTGCCAGGGCTGTCCACCCTGCCAGGGAACAATTCCTCCCCAATATCTCATCTAACCCTGCCCTTCTTCAGCGTAAGGCCATTCCCTGTCTCCTGTCCCTCCATCCCCAGCCCCTCTCCAGCTCTCCTGGAGCCCCTTTAGGCTCTGGAAGGGGCTTTAGCTTTCCCCGAAGTGTTCTCACCCCAAACCCAGCTTCCACTTGGGGCTATTTTAGACTTTAGAACTCATTACTGGTACTTTCAGGTTAATGACTGCTTTCAGTGCCTGCATTTGCCTCGCTAGCTGAAATGCTAAATTGCTTAATTTGCTTTATTAATTTCTAAGGAAACAGAATTAGTTTTTGAAGCACAGGATCTCGGGTAGGCTCACTCAGGCTAAAGCTCCCCTGGGTTTCCCAAGTGGGCTTTAACTGCCCTCATTTAAAGACAGAGAAGTTAAATCTGTGTCTGATGGTGCTCAGTTCTGCTTCTAGTAGGACAAGAATGGACACCCAAGAGTGCAATTCATCTTTTCTAAATATAAACAAATGAGACTCCTCTGAATTCCGAGGTGTTCCTGTCCTGCCCATGATTCCAGGAGGGGTGGTTCTTTTCTTTGCAAGTAGAATGCAGCTTTGAAAATTCACATTATTTACCTGAGCAAGCCAAACCTCTGCCAGCTGCCCTACAGACCTCTGTCCAAAATCTTCTCTAATAAAATAAGAGTCACAGACAGAGGGAGTACATTTGGCTTGCTATAAAAAATCTCTGGTTGTCTGTGTTTCTCCACAGTATTTTGCCTCAGGCTCTCAGATATGAAGCTTAAGATTATTAAACTCACAGGCAGAGCCAAGGAAGAGAGAATGGAATTGAAAATTTCTGCCGAAGCTGTGCAGATTTGAATTTTGGAGGGTTTTTATTTTACTTTATTACCTTCACCTTCCCTTTGTCCTTCTTGCTGGCAAAATGTCCAGTGCAAGGTTGTGCTGCTGCTGTGGTGGTGCTTGAAAGAAAGAAGCAAAGGTCTTGTCTCGGATGTGGGTTTGCATTTCTGAAATATTTGTAGTAGAGTGCAAAACCAGCCCCCCTGAGTCCTGGGTGTCGCTGCCCCGGGGCTGTTCCAGCCCCTCTGTGGGTGTTTAGGACAGAGATCACCTCCTCCATCCCACCCACCCCACAGTGCCCAGGCTGCCCACAGAGGGACTCGGTGCTGGGGGTAATTTTGGGGTTAATTTTGGAAGTACCCAAATAATGCAGCTCCTGCCCTTCCCTGGCTGCTCAAGGGCCATCTGTCATCCTGGTTTAATGAGTCCTTAAACACAGGGTGCAGCCCGTGTTTGGCACATGCCACTGACTTCTGTTCTGAAATGAATTTGGGCAGTTTCTGTGAAGCTTTCTGTGCAGCGAGTGTGTGGTTAAACGTGCTGACAGTGCTAATGTGGGATGTGACATGCAGCTGGAATGCCTGCTTGCTAACTTATCATTTGTTTGTTTGCAATGAACAGCCCGAATCACCCAAACCCGTGAAACACCAGGCAAGTGGTTTTTTTTTAATGCTTTTCAAGTTATGTAGGAGAACTGATGTATATTCTGCAATTTGTGCTGATAATGTGGGAAACCTTGAAGGAACACAAAGCTAATAGAGAATTTTGGGAGTATTTAACTGGCTTTAAGAGAGGGAAGAGTGAGCAGCTCATGAGTTTCTCAGCATTGCAAAGCATCTTAACCACTTTTGAGCCCTGAAATGAAAAGTTTGCCCTCTCTCCAGCCACCCTCCTCCAAAATACTTTGTGTATATTGGGTAATGTGCTGCTGAGAGAGTGCAGAACAAATTTTAAATATTAAACAAAGCACTAAATAAAAGATTTGATTAATGGAAGCTACAAAGTTCTTTTAATTGTTTTGCCTGAATATTTGTATAGCTTTCCAAATCACCAACGAGAGCTTTGATCTCAAGTGTGAAAGGCCTGGCAGAACCAAAAGCCTTCTGAAATCAAGAATTCCCCCAGACTTTGCAGGAGAGGTGGTGTGAACAGAGAGGGATCCTGAGCTGATGTTTGCTGCTGGGAGCTCCGGCTGCTCCCAGTGCTCGTGCTGGAGCTGCTGGGCAGATCCCGGAGCCCATCCCAGCCCTGCTCTGCCTGATCCCCCTTTTCTGGCTGGGAGAAGGAGCTGCAGTGCTCCAGGAGCCTGAAGGAGGCTGAGGTGGAAGCTGAGGGCAGGGATAAACAATTGCTGCCACAAGATAAGTGCCCCACTCTGCCCCAAGCTGGTGAGCGCTGCCTTTGTGCTGGGCACAGCTTTTCAACAAAGCTGGCCAGGCTGGGAGCAGCCAGGGACACTGGAGCAGCTCCCTGGCTTAATCCAGCTGGGTGAATTCCCCCTTTACACTGATGAGTGCAGTGTAACTGCAGTGCAAAGGGAAATGGTAAAGGAACCTCCCAGTGGATCTATTGGGAGCAAAAAGCAATCCCTGGGAGTGTGTGGTGCCTGTTAGACCTCTGCCACCCAGCTGTGTGTCTGAGCCCCTGCTCCCATTTCCAGGAGCTGCAGGCATTCCTAGTGTTCCACTCAACCCTCCCTCCTTGCACAGTTCAAAGAGTTTTACTAAAATATTTGTCAAGTCCAAAAATAGACGGAGTGGTGTCTGGTTTAACCCTCCTTTTGCTGTGAGCTGCCATGCCAGGGTTGACATAAAACGTGTGCTGGTGAACATTTTAACTGTGGCCTTGGCAAAAGCTAATCCCGAGCTGTTGGCACTGCACAAGGCATGGAATCATTAACATCTGTGTCTCAATGTAATTTGGAACTCCAGAGTGGATCCCTGTCGGATGTGAGTAGCATGGAGCCTCCCCCAAAGCCTCCCGCTGGGCTGCTGGCTGTTCTGGAGCTGAGACAATCCCCTGGCCTTGCCTTCGTGGTGCCTGCATGAGCTGTTGCATGACCTCACTTCTCCCACAGTTCCCACTCTGCTTTTTCCAAGTTCTGGGGAGATGCCTGTGCAGGAGCTGTGCCCGGAGGCCAGGCTGAACTCTGCAGTTCAGTGTCTGTGCAGAACACTCAGCTCTTCACAAAGAGGGCTGCTTTTGGCTGGAAGCAGCCCCTGGAGAGAGGGAAACTCCCAAATCAGGAGCCTTTTTCTGCAGTGAGGGCTGTGCTTTCCTTGGTGACAGCTGTGACCAGTCCATGTGTGCAGCACCTCATTCCCGTGGCTGTCACCCACAGCTGGGCATCCCCTGCTCCCTGCAGCTCCTCAGGAGCTGCTGAGCCCTTCCAGGCAGGGCACTGGGGTAAATGTGTTTATCCCACTCTCTGCTGCTTGGTTCCAGGTTTGCTCCAGCCCAGTTTATTCCAGCATGCCCGTGCCACGGAGCCCTCGCTGTGCACTCAGGGCGTTTCTTGCCCAAAATGTTCCAGAGCTGGAGATGCCAGCTGTGCCACAGCCCTGCCCTAGCTGGGCACGCTGGGGTTTATCCCAGCAGCAGGGAGCAGGGAATGCTTCCCTGGGCCTTGCTGTGCCCTCAGGGGCTGGGAGAGGGGAGGGGAGGTGGGAGCATTCCCAGGCTCTGAGGCTTTTACCTGGGAAATGTGGAGAATGTCAGCTGCAGACAGCACAGAGTGCCTATGACAGACATCCAGGTTCTCTCCAATTGCAGATTTTTGTCAGTTTAGAAGTGCCTTGAAGCTGTCACCTTGGCAGCCCTGCAGTGGCACTGCTGGGTCTGCTCTGGACCAAGACTCACATTTATTCCTTCTGCATTTATTCCTTCTTGACTTAAATTTAGGGAATGTGTAGTCCCAAAGGGAGCACATTTGGAACTAAGCAACTTCTGAGCAGATAACTTGAGGTCACGTAAAAGAAGGAACAGCCATTTATTTCCAGGAGTGTTTAAAATATATTTCAATATACAAATAAAACTCTTTTAGGTGTTAAGTAGTGAATTTTAAAAATTCCTGTCTAAGAATTGACCCCGTGTGGAAGCCTTAAGAGACTTAATGCTTCCTGTTCTTTGATGCTTGGTCTGGGGCCTTTATTCACCAAGGCTATAAATAATTGGAAAAAGCAGGTTCATGAACACAAACGTCAGATTGGAGACTACATTCCAGACAGCTTCGCTTGATTTTTTTCCCCTAAACCATCCTTCAGAGCAAGAAGACAATATATTTTCCTGTGTACATTTGTGCCTCCTGGGCTCTTGGAAGCAGCACAGACCTTTTTTGTTACCAGACCTCCTCATGGACCAAACTTGTAAAAGCTGTTGTGCAATTTCCTTGAGATAAGTACTTCAAACTCTAAACTCATTGGCCAGAGCTGACAGAAACATTTAACAAATGCATTAAGCACCCTGAGCAATGCTGGCTGGGTTGAGCAATTTGAAAACAGTGTTTGTAATTGGTGTTTCTGGGTTGTGCTGTGCTGGTGTGGCCAGGTCAGAGGTGATGCAATGAGCCGAGTTTCAGTCTGGCTGACTGAAGGGGAGTTTCACTCACCTGAAAGTAAGTTGGCAAATAGGTGTTTCTGAGTTTGAAAATAGGTGTTCTGAGATAGCTGTACTGTCAGCACAAAGTTTAAATCTAAAACCTTAAATCAGTTCAATTGTTTTCTTCCCATAAGCACTCAAAGGTCTGTGCCTGATTTCATTAGCCCTAAATGTGATTTTTTTTCCGCCATATTCAGTGATTTTCAACATCCATCGAGTCCTATCTGGTCCCTGCTCTATTTGTGTGTGTCTCTGTGTGTGTATTGATAAACAAACCCTGCCCAGAAAAACAGCACCCAAAATGCAGCCACGTTCACCCTGGATGGAGGAAACTGCAGGTTTGGGAGTGCAGGGAAGGATGAGGATCCCTTCTGGTGGTGGTGGCACTGCCACGGCGGGGGAGGCAGAGTGCCTGACCCTGCAGGTGCTGTGTGACAAATCCAGTGTTTTTCTGTCTGTGTGCTTTGCAGGGGGAGCTGGAGAGGCAGCTTCTGCAGGCCAACCCCATCCTGGAATCCTTCGGCAACGCGAAGACGGTGAAGAACGACAACTCCTCCCGCTTTGTGAGTGCCCCTGTCCCTGCAGAGCTGCTCAGGCAGTGCTGCTGCTGCTCAGGCAGTGCTGCTGCTGCTCAGGCAC